GTGTGTGTGTGTGTGTGTGTGTGCGTGTGTGTTCACTCGCTTAAATAAGTTCGTTCTCCTTTGCAAACACACAAACACATACATGAGTAGAACAGGTGTAGGTGTTACACCATGTGTGTAATTGACACGGGGACGAACAGGATGAAGTTTAATAACTCAGATTTTTAATCGAGTGCCATCATCAGGTCACCATTTTCATTTCTCCAGGACTTTGGTTCAGGGACCAGCTTTTATCTGGCTCTGATCTGTATCTGTTCTGGCTCTTATCTGGCTCTGATCTGTATCTGTTCTGGCTCTTATCTGGCTCTTATCTGGCTCTGATCTGTATCTGTTCTGGCTCTTATCTGGCTCTGATCTGGCTCTGATCTGGCTCTGATCTGGATCTGTTCTGGATCTGATCTGGCTCTGATCTGACTCTGATCTGGATCTGTTCTGGCTTTTATCTGGCTCCGATCTGGATCTGATCTGGTTCTTATCTGGCTCTGATCTGGCTCCGATCTGGATCCGATCTGGCTCTTATCTGGCTCTGATCTGGATCTGTTCTGGCTTTTATCTGGCTCCGATCTGGATCTGATCTGGCTCTTATCTGGCTCTGATCTGAATCTGTTCTGGCTCTTATCTGGATCTGATCTGGATCTGTTCTGGCTCTGATCTGGCTCTGTTCTGGCTCTGATCTGGATCTGATCTGGCTCTGATCTGGCTTTTATCTGGCTCTGATCTGGATCTGGTCTAGCGCTGATCTAGCGCTAGACTGGATCTGGATCCAAGGTGGTAAAATACTCTTCGTTCATTAAACTCTGCAGCCAAACAATCCCTTGTTAAATTTTTCATTCACCTTCTGTCTCTGTCTGTAGCAAAGAAAGCCTAATGATGTAAACAAACAAACTGCTGTAAACAACAAACATGGCGGAGCAGCTTAAACATCCCAGAGTCAGTGAAACAACTGCAAAATGTGTTTGCAGGAAGCTACTCACAGAGAAGCAGGAATGACTTGTTCTTTGTTTAAATATTTATCTGTTCTTCACATTTTTATTGTAATTATTTGATTTTATTGTCAAATTATATATAATACTATGCTTATTGTTATGAACCAAAACGCTGAAGCAAATTGCTCGTATGTTGAAAACCTACTAGGCAATGAACCAGATTCTGATTCTGATTGTTAAAGTAAGAACTTGTTACTGTTGGTAACTGGAGGAGGACGAATGCTCGGCCCCAGTCCACCACCAGCGTCACAGCGTCAGGTAACATTCAGAGCTTCACTTTCACTAAGATTCGTTGAATGATGAAGTAGAATAAAAATGATATATTATATATATTATATATATTGTATTCCTACGCACAAGCACATCTACAGCGCGCACTATATTATACCACAGCTGCAGGTCTGCTGAGTGAATCAGAAAGAGCTGATAAAGTGCAGAAAATATTCTACATGAAGCCACATTTAAACAGATATTGGATTGTTTCAGTGGGCATCTTATAAAAGTGTCTAAAACACATTTTTTCTTCTGGCCCCGCCCACAGCAACATTGCTAGTGTCACTCTGCTAGTGTACCACGCTCCCTGCTGCCTCTCCTAAACAAATCTACTGCAGGTAACACTCTATACATGACTACCCCCCACATCAAATAACCCCACCTATCACTTTAATTGATTAGTCGATTGATAAAAAACTAATTGTTAGTTATTTTGATAACTGAGTAGTTGTTTTAGTCATTTTCAGGCCAGTTATCTTCTGATTCCAGCTGCTCCAGAGTGAGGGTGACACAGTGAACGCAGCAATTTTCTCTCTGAAGCTCGGTGCAGCTGCATGGCCTTCAGCACTGTGATTGACCCCACCCACACACCCCCCCTCAGCCTCTCCACCCTCCCACCATCTGACAGGAGCCATCGGAGCATCAGGACCTGCTCTACCAGACTCTGCAGCCTCCTCCTCCGTCATGATGTGAGGACACCCTGTTCACCCCCCCACCCCAAGCCCCACCCCATCTCTGTGGGTCTTATAAATAAATAAATAGAATAAAAATCGCTAAATAGATACAAAGTAAAGGTGATTTTTACTACTTTATAAAATGTTTAATTGGTTGTCATACACAACCTGTGGAAAACATGCACATGCACACACACACACACACACACACACACACACACACACACACACACACACACACACCATTCAGGTTCATTAGCTTTTAACTTTCAACCTGGAGTGGCTAGCTGGTCACACACACACACACACACACACACACACACATACAGTAGACTCTCCTGCACTCTAATCTATAAGTGATTCCTCCAGAGCCGCATCGCTGCAAATCTGCTGACCAACACAATACACACACACACACACACACACACAGACACACACACACACACACACACACTCACACACACAACACACACACACAAGAATAGAGAAAGGGTGTGTGCATCTGTGAATACATTTGTGTCTGTCTGTGTGTGTGTATGTGAGTATATGAATATATACTGTACCTATATAGTGTGTGTGTGTGTGTGTGTGTGTGTGTGTGTGTGTGTGTGTGTGTGTTGCACCAGCTCAGCTCTGTACTACCAAAGAAACATTTTTTATTTCCTCACAGCTAAAATATTAAATAGAGAAGAAAGTTAAAAGTCAGAGTTTTTGCTCTTTGCACCGAACAGAGCAGAGTTACAGAGCTACACACCTACAGAGCTACACACCTACAGAGCTACACACCTACAGAGCTACACACCTACAGAGTTAAAGAAATACACACCTACAGAGCTACACACCTACAGAGTTACACACCTACAGAGCTACACACCTACAGAGCTACACACCTACAGAGCTACACACCTACAGAGCTACACACCTACAGAGTTAAAGAAATACACACCTACAGAGCTACACACCTACAGAGTTACACACCTACAGAGTTAAAGAAATACACACCTACAGAGTTAAAGAAATACACACCTACAGAGCTACACACCTAGAGAGGTACAAACCTACAGCTACAGAGTTCTGACACTGGAGAAAGGACCAGTTCAAAACCAGTATGAAACCAGTTCTACAAAAAACTGTCTGTCTGGATGTGTGTTAAGACAAGAACTGCACAACAATGAAAATATAATCCAAATCTCAATATGACCAAGTGTAATATCCAAATCACAGGAGCTGCACTTTGTTTGATAAAAGTAAAATATGTCACATTGTTGTGCATTGTTAGCACCAGTGTTGTGTTGCTACAGAGACGCCCCGGACTACAAATCATTTTCTCCAGACGTAAAGGAATATAATACAAGATCAACAAAATCACACCATCACTATTTAAATTTTTTTTAATTTTAACTTGCATATCATAATATCTGCCAAAATAATCATAATAGGATTTTTTTGCATATTGTGCAGTCCCAGTTAAGACAGCTGAAAATGTCAAATTAAATACCACAGATACAGATAATAAGAACACTGTAGAATGACTGCAGTGATACTAGAGGAGACAAACAACCAGAAATATTCAGGACACTCTATATAAACCTGCTACTGAGCCGAGCTTGTCAATCACACAATATGTTAATTAACAACATTTCCTCACTGTGTTAACTGGAAACAGAATCTGGTCGCAATTACGTTTCCTTCAATACATATCTGCTGGATGTGAACGCAACTTGTAGAAAACAGAGGTGAATGTGGAGGAGCAGCCTCAGCTCAGGAGAGCAGAGACAGAGAGAGAGCTGAACGCAGCTAAACACACTCAGCAGCATTAACATGAGCTCCACCTTCACCAGCTGCAACATTAAAGTGATGGAGACAGTACCGGGCTCACTGCAGGATGAACAGTTTTACTACTGGTACTTTTGTACTTTTCTGGACTAGTTCTGAATGCAGTACTTTCACTAACAGTATTTCTTCACTGTGGTGTCAGAACTTTTACTTTAGTGGAGACCTGCAGTCAGTGTGGATCATTCAGACACTCCACTTCCTCTGAGTGTGTGCGTGTTCCTGGTGCCCTCATCACACACACACACACACACACACACACACACACACACACACACACACACACACACACACACACACACACACACACACACACACACACACACAGGCGAATCACGCACACACACTACTGCAGTATGAATGTGTGTGTGTGAATAAGTGACTATGTGAGATAGCGTTTGCAAGTGCAGTGGCATGCATCTGATCAGTGTGTGAGCAGTGTGTGTGTGTGTGTGTGTGTGTGTGTGTGTGTGTGTGATCAATGACTCTTTGATCAGGGGTCTCTGTGTGTGCTGACAGGCACTTTACATCGCCTATTGTTAGCGGTGGCCGATCGACAGACTCATATAGATCCCACTGCGCTCTCTGTCACTCTCTCTCTCTCTCTCTCCTGCATGTCGGCACTTTTTAAAGGTCACGTTCGTCCCTCGTTCTCTCTTTCATTCTCTCTCTCTCTCCTGTCCCCTCTGTCTATCACACGTCCATCTCATCCCTCCCTCCCTCTTTTTCTCCGCCCCCTATCTCTGATATTTCCTTTTTTATTAAATGACTTCAGAGAGAGAAAGGTAGCTGATTGGTCGAAGCTGATGATGTAACAGATGACAGATGATGTCATAAATAACAAAACTATGTTTAATATCAGTGTCAGTGGAAAAACCAGGAAGAAACATGATGTAAATCCAGTTAAATTAAAACTGCAGTAATTGATCTGATACAGATTACATGACTCATTATGTTGGACATTTTTGTGCTGTGTGTGTGTGTGTGTGTGTGTGTGTGTGTGTGTGTGTGTGTGTGTGTGTGTGTGTGTGTGTGTGTGTGTTCATTAAGCTGAGCAGCGTCTGCTCTGGTCTGGAGGAATCACATTAGATCCACTATCGATGACAGATCTGCAATCCAATCACTGCTCTACCTCGCTCTTTCCAAGAGAAAGAGAGTGAGAGAGAGAGAGAGAGAGAGCGAGAGAGAGAGAGAGAGAGAGAGAGAGAGAGAGAGCGAGAGAGAGTGAACTTACTCTGTGAGACTCGTACTAGCTCGGCCACTGTGAAGACTCCAGGTGTGACGAAGCTGTCCTGAAAACCCAGGTGACCTGTGACAGAGAGGTTGATATTACAAATAAATAACTTTATTGATTATAGCAGTATTATTATTATTATTATTGACAGTCAAACAGTAAAACAGTAAAAGGAGACGCAGCAGTAGTAACAGAAGTCATATTACTAGTAACAGCAGCAGCAGTAGATCTCTGATTTCTCTCTCTGACTGACACAGAAAAACTGATGCATGCTTTTATATCCATCAACCAGCTTCAGCTGATTCACAATTCTGCTGCCCGAGTGCTGACCACGACCAGAAGGAGAGAAGCTCTTCATGGTCTTGCACTGTCATACATGTCCCACAGTCTGTGAGTTGTTCCGAAGTGCAGGACTAAAACCTGTGGTGAGGCGGCTTTTAACTTTTATGCTGCGAGCCGATGGAACAGTCTGACCTGAGAGCAGCTGAAGTGTTGAAATTTTCAAACATAAACTCAGAATGTTCCTCTTCGGCTTTTAATTAAAAATGATCTTTAGTCATTAGTCACTTTATTCTATTCACTTATTTTATTGTAATTATGTTCTAAATTGTATTTTTATTTCTATTTTATCTGCTCTTTATCTATCTCTTATTAAGTTTCTGTTTTTTTTTGTTTGCTAATGTTATCATAGCTTTTTAAATGTATTTCATTGTATCTCATCGTCAGCTTTCTTACTTAATTTGTCCTTTTCTTCTTAGCTCATCAGTTTGTGACGTTCTTTGAACTGCACTAACTTGTATGAAAAGTGCTGTACAAATAAAGTGATTGATTGATTGATTGATGATAGTAACAGTATCAGCAGTAGTACCAGTAGTAAAGATAAGAAACTGTACTCTACTATTTCTTTGCTGATGTCTTTGATTGTCATACAACCACGACAGGATGAAGTATTTTTCTGGTCCCAATATGTCCAACAGAGTGAGACGCCTTCTGTCTAGTGGATCGCATCAAATCGAATTTGGAAGCAGCATTCTCCCAGATTAACTTTCATTAATATCAGATGAATAATTTAAGACGACTGAACCAGGAACTTCATTATTTGGATCATGAAGCTTGTGTCAGGTTTAGTTTAGTTCAATGTGTCAGAGTCATGTTCCTGATCAGAAGTAGTCAGGTTTATTAGTCACAGTATCAGCAGTACTACCAGAGCAGTAATATCAGTAGTAAAGGCAAAAGTAGCTGTAGTAGTAGTCATGGCAGCACTAACAGTAGTATCAGTAGTAGTAGTAACAGTAGTAGTAGTTGTAGTAGAAGTATCAGTGGGGAAGTGAAGTACAGCTGAGAAGTGGAAGCTTCTGTTTCCCAACAAGGATAATCACTGCCAGCTGGGAGTGTTTCTGTGTGTGTGTGTGTGTGTGTGTTGTGTATAAGACACTGACCCTGGGGTTCAGCTACGTGCCGGTAGACACACACACACACACACACACACACACACACACACACACTCACATACACACACACAGATAAAACCAGAGAGGATATCCTCTCTCATACACACACTCTGACATTCATCAACACACATACACTTAAAAAATCTGTCACACACACTTCCCTGATCCAGACAAACAACTTCCACTGTGGTGTGTGTGTGAGTGTGTGAGTGTGTGTGTGTGTGTGTGTGTGTGTCTGTAATAAAACCACAGCCTCTCTCTGTCTGACCACCAGGGTCAAACGCAGGTCACCCTCAGTGTGTGTGTGTGTTTACACTGTGTATATGTGTGTTTATAGATTACAACATCTACAGGAGTGTGTGTGTGTGTGTGTGTGTCTCTCTCTCTCTCTCTCACCATTCTCTGGCTGCTCCTTGATATCAGATTCGCTGGCCTGGTTGGGGCTCTCTGATTGGCTGGCTTCTGGAGGGAGAAACAGATAGACACGTATGAGGACGAGTCAAACAACAACTGTAATAAAAACACTTGATAACATGTTAAATACACTGTTCACCCACACACCCACACACACACACACAGAAGCTCGCAAATGTTGTTTTAAAGTCACACCAGCGAGATCAAAGCCAGTTACAGAAATATATTTAATGTAGAGACATTTACGCTCTCAGTGATGATGTGTCATTATATACACACATTTTCAGTTTGTTTGTTTGTTTGTGTGTTTGTCAGCAGGATTACTTTAAAACGTTCTGAACCGATTTAACTCGTTTATTTGGTGGAGGGACAGATCATGGACCAGGGAAGGACCTGTCACATTCTGGGGCTGATCCGGATCATTTACTGTGATTTAGGATTTTCTCCTCTGCATTCTGGTGCAGGGGTTTTGACCCTGGTGTTGGTGAAGGTCTGAACTCTACTGAGAACATTTTCTATACTCTTCTTTGACTGTTTCCTGTTTTATTCTGCTCCTTGGTTTATTGTTTTAAATTGTAAACTGACTTCTCAGGCCTGATCACATGACCTGATCAATTACAGGTTGTAAAAACAAAAACATAGTGGACGTGATTCAGGCTGAAGACTTTATCGTTAAACAAATGGATCATTCATTCTTGTTTTTCAGGAGATGAAGCTGAGTGATTCACAGAGCAGCTCAATAACACACTACTACTACTACACTCTGTGTGTTTGTGTGAGTGTGTGTGTGTGTGTGTGTGTGTGTGTGTGTGTGTGTGTGTGCGGTGGGACGCCTGTATTGATCTCCATACCACAAGACTTGGGTTTCACCTGGTGTCACACACACAGCAGACTCTACCTGCTGCAGCAGACACACTGAAGTATGAAACAATAAAACATTGAGTATCTGAAGAAGAACGTTTACATCCACACTGAGAGTGATGCAGGTCGACCCCGTGTCAGCTGCTTATCTGAACAGACCGACACGGGTTAAAGGTGGGTCTGATGCTGTGGTGGCTTTAGTGGCAGGTAAAAACAATGGTGTTTTGCAACGAAAATAATCTCCATCCAGATTATCACACCTGAAAACACACATCACATGACCATTCACATACACTGGGCATGTGCGGGCCGGTGTAAACAGGAAGTAAATTGACTACTCTGCAGGTGGTTAGTTACAGTAAATCCTCTGAAGGAATGGATGTAAGTGAGCAACAGCTGCTAGCAAATACAACAATGTCATTAACACTGTGATGCATTATCATGTTGTATTGACCACTGGTAGTCCAGGCTGATGAGAGCCAATCAGGAGAGACTGTGGGTGTGACATCATCATTTACAAGGGTCTCAGTTTCTGTCCATCCAGACTACAACAATACCCCAGAGTTTTCAAAGTAAAACACAACCCCAGAGTTTTCAAAATAAAACGGAGTCAGCAGAGTTTCCAAAACTCTCTGTTTCTCTCTCAAAAACTCCAGAGTCGTGTGGACGAGAGGAAGAAACGTAGGAAGTGTGGACGTAGCCTGAGAGTGGAAACTAATTACCTGACTCCCCAGAGAAAGAGAGGGAGTGTGAGAGTGAGAGAGAGAGAGAGAGAGAGAGAGAGAGAGAGAGAGAGAGTTTGTTTGTGTTTGTAAACTTTATTCTGTGCTCATGTAAAACAGTTCTGTCAAACGCAGTGATGTTAACGATCAGATTCTGGTTTAATGCAGCTTCACACACTCAGTAAACCCTTATTTATTGTTATTACTATATAAACTACTGCAATGCAAATATATTATGAGCTTATCATCAGTTTTATAGATAAACTTAATATCTGAACAGGAACTAGTGACACACTCACTCACACAGCAATGCAGAGCTACACATACCACAGACAGACGCAGAGGTCAAGTAAATCAAATGTATTTACATTTATTTCCTTTAAAAACTAACTTCTCCAGACTGTGGCGTCTCCACACGTCTGGTGTGAAATGTTGATGAGTCAGTATCACATCAGGCTGAGTGAGTCTGAGCAGCACACAGCACCGAGCCAGCTGACAGAGTCACATGTGAATAAATCAGCCTGAAACTGAAGCCGTTGCTCTGCTCGTCACCGTCACTCCGGAGGAGACTTTGTGAAATGTGTTGCGTCCTCGTCTCTGCTTTGTGAGCGCAGCCTGTTTCTCTCTGTGCCTGCCTCTGTTTGTTTCCCAGCATGCTCTCTGCTCCGATGCAGCTCCCGCTCCTACAAATGATTTAGCGGCTTCAGGAGCATCGATCGGCCGCGCTGCAGATAAAATAGGCGGGGAGTGGAAGAAATATTACCCATCATCCCCCCCGGAGCCGGCCGCCGGGGCCATGACTCAGGACCGGACTGAGATGGATGGAACTGAGTCAGGTTGGGTTTTATTGGGACGTCCAGTAAAGTGAAACTTTTTAATTATGATAAAATGTAGTTATCAAACTGCCAGAGGAGACGAGCTGCGTCTGAAACTTTCTCTACGTTCTTTCACACGACACTGTAATAAACAGGAACACAGGATTTATGAGGTTTCATTCATGATGGGAAAGTGTTAAGTAAACTGTGTGTGTGTGTGTGTGTGTGTGTGTCAGATTAACAAGCAGGAAGAAAAGGCGGCAAAAAACAGACGAGGTTTAACACTGAAAGAAGTGATGTGGTTTCAGGATCTACAATGTTATGCTTGTTGTGTTGTGTTGTGTGTGTTGTGTGTGTTGTGTTGTGTGTGTTGTGTGTGTTGTGTTGTGTTGTGTGTGTGTGTGTGTATGTTGTGGTTGTTGTGTTGTGTTGTGTGTGTTGTGTGTGTTGTGTTGTGTGTGTTGTGTTGTGTGTGTGTGTGTGTGTGTGTGTGTTGTGGTTGTTGTGTTGTGTTGTGTGTGTGTGTGTGTGTTGTGTGTGTGTGTTGTGTTGTGTTGTGTTGTGTGTGTTGTGTGTTTATTATTTGTATTCAGGCTTTTACAGTTCTGGTCGACATATTTATTTATTTCAAATTTTAATTTGAGGATAAAAACCTCTGATCTTCCTCAGATTCAAAAGATGTGGAAATTAAACAAAAATAAATTCATAAATAATAATGATAATAATAAAATGAAATAGTCCTAGAGACAAAATACTCAAGAGAACATTAAACCACACACACTTCGTCACTGTTAGGAGGACTTAAATAAATGAACACTGCCACCTAATGATGTGTTGTCTCAGTCTCTTGATGTTTAAATTGTTTCTCTATAAAACTGGTCTGTAAACTGTTTTTAAAAAGTGATAAATAAACATGTAAATAAACTTGTGAAAAGAAAAACTGCCCAGAAAGAAAATTATGGTGAAGTTTTATTCTGCTTTGGTGCCTGATTTAAAACTCACTGACTCAAAGCAGAGGAAGTTAAATCAGCTGATTTCACCAGAGACAAAACTCAACCAAAAACATCCAGTCAGGACTCAAAGACTCCAGATCCAGATCAGTTCTACTCCAGACCTGAACCAGGTCTTTGTTTGCTCCGCACTTGATTTCCTGTACATTAGTGAGTTAACAGGTAAAAAGTTTCTCTCTTCATGTGGTTTATAACAAGGTGATCAGTTGTTACTCTCAGACCTTGTCACTGTGAGCTTCAGTTGCACAATTACATTTCTAAAAACATAAACTTTTTTCAGTGAGAAACCCCCCCCCCCCACACACACACACACACACACACACACACACACACACACACACACACACACACACACACAGAGAGAGACACAGACACAGTGCAGCATTTATCAGCCTTGTTTTGCATGCTGTTCACTGTGTCTGTTCGCTTCAGCAGCTTAAAACAAAGAGCATCAGGCTGAAACCACGGCAACCAGGGGAAAAGGGGGGTGGGGGGGTGTGTGTGAGGGGTGAGGGGTGCAGGGGGGTAAAGGGTGCTGCTGATGGGTGTGTGTTGGAGGGCACTTTCACACACTGCCCCCCCCACCCCTGCACCCCCACCTCCTCATTCAGCCGTCACCCCCCCCTGTCCAGGTTAATTAAATATGCTAATGAGGCGTGGGAGCAGACCGGACGGCCTGCATCCACCCCCCCCCCCTCCCCCCCATCAAGGAAAGGGAGGGAGTGCAGGGGGGGTGGGTGGGCTCCAAAAACATAGCAAAATAAAAGCCCTCTGTCCAGACCAGGAGAAACAAACAGACAGGGAATTAACTCCAGCATCTCACCACAGCCTTCGAAGTAAAAACCTCTGTTTGAAAAGCTGCTGCAGGCTTTACTTTTATTTTGAAGTGTCATTAAGGTTCATCTCCACTTCTCTTTTTCCTCCTCCTCTTTTCATCACCCATGTTAACTATGACCACTTTCCATCCAGGTCCTCTTCTCCTCTTCTGTTTCCCTCTCCCTTCTTCCAACTTAGGCTTCAAAATAAAACTTCAAAATAAGTTTTCTTTCTGTTCAGAAAACTCTAGTTAATGAGGATGTTTCCCATCCAACTCCTCTCTCCTCTCTTACACGCTCTCTTTTTAGTCTGTCTCCCAATCCCAGCATTCAAAAGAACACTACTATTTTGATTTTGAAAAGTGCTGTTTAACAATCTACTTTCAAAGATGTTTTTTGACTCCGCCCCTCCTGGGCTTCCTTCGAAACACACACACACACACACACACACACTAACTAAAGCAACATGAACACTTTTGTCTCTGCATTCGTTCATCCCTTGTTGTAGCTCTGCTGCCCATGTGACCAAGAAGAGAAAGAGAGGGGGAGAGAGAGAGACCTCTGCCCTCTCTTTCTCTCTCTCTCTCTCTCTGTGGGAAAGTCAAACTCTGTGGCCCTGGAGGTTGCTCACCCGGCCCTTTCGCACTCTCTCTCTCTCTGACATGAACTGCCACTTTTTCTAGGAAGAGGGGAGAGAGGGAGGGAGGGGTGAGCTACTGGATAATTCCCAGAAAGGCAGAAAAGAGAGAGCGAGAAAAAGATGGGAGAGAGAGAGGGATGATGTGCCTCAGCCCAGTTCACTCTCTATGTCTCTCTACCTCTGTTTCTCCCTCTGGTCCCCCTT